AAAAAAAAAAAAAAAAAAAAAAGAATGAAATCCTGATATGAAGACAATTAATGATAATTAATGACATGGTGGGGCATGGGGGAAGGGGAGATCAGACAGAGAAGGTGCGAGGAGTATGGGGGAAAAAAATAATGACTAATTCTCACACAAACTGGATTTTGATCAACGTATAGCCAGGCGTTGTGGCGGGTGCCCGTAGTCCCAGCTACTCAGGAGGCTGAGGCAAGAGAATCACTGAAGGCCAAGAGATGGAGGTTGCTGTGAGCTGTGATGCCACAGCACTCTACTGAGGGTGACAAAGTGAGACTCTGTCTCAAAAAAAATTACCTGCTTGCAGAATTCCTGTTAAGAGAGAGACACGTTACATTTTATTAAGCTATTTGTTTCTCAGGATTCTTTTACTTGTAGCCAAAAGCTATTACTCATTGGTACAGTATATTTTGTAAGTTTCCAAATGTATACTTTGTTTTGTTTTGTTTTGAACTATCTTTTCATTGCTGTGTTTTGAACATGGCAAGCACCCTCCCCATCTCAGGCCCTTCGCTTTTGCTATTCATTGTGCTTGGAATTTTCTTCCCCTAGACAGCCAAGTCTTATTCCCTCACCCCCTGCAGTTCTCTGCTTAAATCAGAGAGGCTTTCCTTGACTGTTGATCTAAAATACCATACCTCTAAGCTGATTTATCTTTTGTTATACATATATCACCACCAAACATCACTAAATATTTTTTAAAATTTGTTTTATCATCTATCCCCTTGCCCTCGGAATGTAAGCTTTGTGACCGTGGGGCTTCATCTCTTATTGGCTGCTTCAAATCCAGCTTCTAGAAGATTATCTGGCATGTAGTGGATGCTTAATAAATATTTCATTTCTAATATAATTTCATTGTGATGAGAAGATATGCTGTGTATGAGAACATCTTTTTAAACTTTTTGGAGACATCTTTTTGCCCTAGTACATGTTCTAGGGTATTTTTGAAAAGAATGCATCTCTATATATGTCAGGTGCAATATTCTATTTATATTAAATCGAATATATTAACTACATCATTCTGGTCTCTATTCTGTTTAATTTGTATCTGATCTACCAACTTAATATAAAAATGTGCTAAAATCTCCAGATATAACTATGCATTTGTCAATTTCTCTCTTGTTGCTTTTTAAGTGGAATCTGTCATTAGGCTTACAATTTGGGTAAACTGTGTCTTTTAACAATGTGTCTTTTGGCTCAGCGCCTGTGGCTCAAGTGGCTAAGGCACCAGCCACATACACCTAAGATGGTGGGTTCAAATCCAGCCCGGGCCCGCCAAAACGACAATGATGGCTGCAACCAAAAAAATAGCCGGGCGTTGTGGTGGGCACCTGTGGTCCCAGCTGCTTGGAAGGCTGAGGAGGAGACTTGCTTGAGCCCAGGAGTTGGAGGTTGCTGTGAGCTGTGATGCCACAGCACTCCATCCAGGGGGATAGCTTGAGGCTCTGTCTCAAAAAAAAAAAAA